GGTAGTGCCTCCTCATCCTCGTCAGCATAGACTTGCGAATAGCCCATCCTTCCAGGGGGGTTTAGGGTTTAGGGTTTGGAGGAGGCCGATGGGAAAGTCCAACTTTAGGCACACGCATGGAACCTGAACAGGGGACCTTGCAAGACTACCAGCCTCTTAGGGACCCGACTTAAGTCCTGGCTTCTGAAAGCCTGAACCCTAAAACCCATATCACCCCATTGTAGTAGTTTCCATTTTCTTTTCCATCATCCCTATATAACCCCAGTATTACCCCTATGTAAGCCAAATACAACCCTAATATAACCCTATATATCCCTTTAAAGGGACCTGGGGTTTCCATTTTCTTTTCCATTATATATCCCTGTATAACCCCAATATTACCCCTTTATAACCCCATGTATTTAGAGTTGCCACTTAAGTCTCCTACCCCTTCTTCGGATCAATTCCTCTTTCTGTGAGGGGTATGGGAGTTTCCATAGATAGAGGAACCATAATATGGACCTCAAAATACTACAATCCGTATCATTGGAGAACTTGGAACCATAGCAAACTTGGAACCATAGCAAAAATTAAAATTTTGGCTGTTCCTTAGGATTGTAATAGGCAAAAAGTAAAAATTATTTCCAAAGACCCCTGGGGTATTATGAGGACCTCTTAAAAGCTTTCCCTCATTTTGGGAAACTGTTCCAAATGGCCCCCACTGGGCCTTCTTGCTCCAGGTGCCCCTCGGCCCTCCTTGACCAGTGGGCCTTCTGGCAGCATACCTTTACATGGTGGTTTCCCTGAATGGTCTGGGGACAGGGGGAATTTGAGAGATTTCCACATCTCAGCATAGGAGTGAAGAAGGAACAAAAAATGAAGGAAGAGGAGTAGTACTGCTAGTCGCAATACTGGAAGGAGCAGCAGCAGGAGGAGATACATAGGAGGATGAGGAGGAGCAGTTGCAGTAACAGTAGCAGTAGCAGGAATCAGCAGTCGCAACAGGAGTATAAGTATAAGTAGTTGGAGAAGTAGTAGAGGCAATGGCAATGAACTCGTGCTTTCAGTGGCGGAGATGGCGGAAAAGATGCCCGTAGTGACAGGAGGATGGTGCTGGCGGTGCAGTGCTTTCGTCGTGACTTGATGGTGGTGGTTAGATGGCGGGAGCAGCTGCACAGCGGTGGCGGCGACAGTGGTGGTCATTGTAGTGACAGAGGGACCGTATTTGTTGCAGAGGCAGTCGCGGTCGTACGCACAAAGGCTGAAGGAACAACAACAACATAGTCATAACATGATGACCCTGGATGCTGGAGCATCCGGGACAATCATTCTGGGGATGTGGCGGGCACCACATCGAAAGTGCCAACATCCGGGCTAGAGGGAATACCTCTTTTTGATCCCCGGGATAAATGTACTACCTTAAACTTAAACCCTCAATCCTAAACTGGCCGCGTACCCGCTTTCTTGAGAGATTCCTTTGTTCAGTCTTGCAGCCACAAGACCCGATGACAGCGAGCACCGGGATCGCGGTTGAACTGGCATGACCTCGGATCAATAGTAGTGGTAATAACAAGATCAACAATTAAATGATAGTGAAACGAACAACAGTAGTAGTAATAATACTACTAGTAATGAGAGTGATGATACTCTTACAGGTAACTAGTAATTAATTATCTGAATGATATGGACGTGTCGATTCCAAAGTATCACAACTTATGCGACCTCCATCGTTCCATTGCTATCAATAGCCCTGACGACAATTGCTACGAAACAGTCGACAAAAGAGGTCTTGTGCTGCTTCAGACCCGCGGAAGATGGTGATTCCCCAAACAGATAAAGCAGTGAAAGGCTTCCTGGATCCGCAGTACTCCTGTCATGACTTCACTACTTCAGTGACCTCGCATACTGTCCTTACTAGTCCTAACCATCAAAAGAATCACGACAGCACAAGTGCAGCAAAACACAAGGGCTAGAGACAAAAAGAAGTCTCCTGCACGCAGCGCCCTACACTTGGCAAAACCTAAGCCTAAACCCTCACCCCTGAAGCCAAGAGAACCCTAAGCCAAGAACCCCGCCCTACCTCATAAAGATTTAAGAAAAACGTGTCCAAGATCCGAGCTCCAACTCGTCTTCTTGGAATTTGTCGGTGACCCACCACGCCTAGGAAGGGCTTCACAGTTTTTTGATGCCTGAACTGCTCAAGACTATGCTCCCATGTTGAAACCATTACAATTTCGTACTGTGGTAGGCGGGCGATAGTTTGACTATTCAAAATCTTACCCGGCTGACTCAGCAGGGATAAGCTTGTCAACTTCATGTTGCAGTCAGGAAATTCTCAGCTTGCTAGGCTTGTGTGCAAACTGTGCAAACCCCTTGAAGCCGTCTACATCTTGTTTAAGGGTGTAAGGTTTGGGGTTTAAATGGTGAAGATGCTACTTGGAAACTCAAAGATCTCAAAGACAGAAGCGTTGGATCTCACATGTACCGAGATTGGTTGAAGGCCAGGCCCTTGAAAGCAATAAAAGCTGACTGCATGCCCTACATGTGACCTCTACCGTCTAAGGCAGCATTCAACAACCTAAACTCACAACCATCGACCCTAAACCTCAAACAGGCTGGTGGTTTATCTGCTTCCCCTTTATGTTCTGCCCTTATCCCTGTATCTCGTGATTTTAAAAAGGATTCCTACATCTTCCCCTATGAAACAGAAACCCCCATTTGAAGAGACTAGCAACCGCTATAACCCTAACCCTTATACTCGAAACCGTAATCCCCAAATCCTGAAACCTGAACCCTGAACCCCAAATTCTAGATCCGAAGCCCTGAACCCTGAACCCTAAACCGGGTTCTTGTTGAAATACCAGTAAAGAAGATCGTTTTTTTACTGATATTGGGCCCAGGTATCCATAAAAATGTAAAATTTTGTGCTACAAGAGCCCAGTAAACCTAAAACTTTCAACCCGAAACCTCGATTTATGATGCACGGCCACATGCTGGGGCGACTGCGCGCAGCCACGCAGCCAGCAGCCACACCCAGCCCTAGCGGCCAATTAGGGTTTAGGGTTTAAGGCTTAAGGGTTCAGGGCGGGCGAACATCCTCATTATTTGCCACTGTAGGACTATACAGGGGTGTAAATAGGTTTTGGGGGTTTATTGGTAGGGGGTTGGGAATGGAGCGTCACATGGAGATGAGAATGGAAAATGAAATGAAAACTGGGTCTATGTAGCGCTTGTATCTAGGGATTCTAGTGGACTAAACCCGAAACCCTAAGGTTCAGGGCATCGGGTTGGGGATCCAAGTTCACAAATAACACCTACTTTGAGCCCGAAAGTCGATTATCAGTACCCGCTTTGGGGTATTTCGGTCTATGAGGTAAGCCTGTAGTTTGGGCCAGGGTTCAGGCGTTAGGCTGCAATGTTGAGGCTTCAGGGTTTTGGGTTTTGGGTTCAGGCTGTAGGCTTCAATGTGTGGGGTTTCAGGCCTCGCATGAGGTTTAGCCTCTGGGCTCTTGTTGACCTGCCTGCCTTTTCCTGTGCGGCAGTTCAAAAGGCCTTCGCTTTGAGGGTTCAAAGCTCATAGTCCGCACAAGGAATAGATTCGGAAAATTGACTACTAAAGAATCCTCTCCCCTCATACTGAGAGCCCTCCTCCTCTACAATTGCAAGTGCTATTCGGCCTGCACATCATAGAGCCCTTAACCCCAAACCCTAGACCCTTGGCCACTTCCGTTGAGGGGAGGGGTCGGCCTACTTAAACTTCAACTTATAGACTGGTTGCAAAATCCTCGCCCACCTAGGCCCGCACTGAGCTCACTTGATATTCCTGTACAGGCACCTTTGACCAAAAAAACCTGGTGCTTCTTAATTGGGCATGCAGGCATAGATTGCTGATGTAGCCCGTACATATTCTCCAATGAGCCCCTTGCAATCCAATGACCCAAATAGTAGGGTGTTAGGGCCCAAATACGATAATATTAATGGTATTTGGGCCTTAACACCCTATTATTTGGGTCCTATATTCTACCCCATCCTGTTGGATGAGACAAATCTTCGACATAGATACTGGAGGCTCCTTAATCATCACTAATATCACTCTAAGGTCTATTTGAGGTCCCAGATTAAACCTGGACCTATAGTAGGAATCTAGGACCGTCATATCGGTAATTACTTTTGGCCCTTGCATTACCTGCAAGATGGGAACTTTCAAACGTCAGTTCCCCTGTTACACGGAGGGTTTTGTGAGCCGAGGGAGCCGCCGTCGCGAACACGGTCTGCAGTCATGCCATCTATGTCAGGCCGAGCCCCCACCCATCTATAGTGGCCAGAAGGGATGATGGTATTTATATGAGCCATGATCTAAACTCCTTAAAGGTGCATATATATAGGGGGATGATTAAGCGGATACTAGGAGTTCAGGCTATAGTTCATGTGAGTGTCCCTTCTTACTCCTATAGCACTACTATTATACTGGGTTGGAGGTTGCAGCAGTAGTTTCTCAAAATGGAGGGCCAAGTGAGGGAGCCAAAGCCCTTGTAGGGGTTACAGAGCTACGTATGAGTGGTTCCTGCCATGAAGTCTGTTCATTGGGGAAATTGGAACCATAGCAAAAATTAGAATTTTTGCTGTTCCTTAGGATTAGAATAAGCAAAAAGTAAAAATTGTTTCCAAGTACCCCCTAAGTGTTCTGGGATGTATGAGAAACTCCTGACATGAATCAGAAATCTCGGGCAGCTGTCAGGTCTTCGACCTTTTGCTTCCCGCAACTGCTCAAGAAGCAACCAGGGTTCCCCCCTTTTAGGCTTTGGTGTGATACCCCCCCAACAACGATGGGACGGATTTTGGATCTGACCTGAAACACTCCACATGAACGGCAGGAAATGTGTCTTGCAGCTTCTGGTCCCTCTGACCTTAAACAGCAATAACTATGAATAGTTGGACCAAGCTCTGGAGGTAGAACATACTTCATGCTAGTCTATGAAGGCAGTGACGTGAATCGTCCTTCTGCGCGCTCAGGATCGAAATCAGATGGAGAAACAATGGTCGGAATCGCTTTCTGCACCATCTTCGGCGCAGCTGACAACCACTGATCTGAGACACTCTGGCACCGTTGTGTCTTGGAGAAAATCAGCGGCCGTCCTGCCTCTTGAATTCTTGAGATCCCATCGTGCACCTGCCTGCAGCAAAACAGGTGCAACTTCAAGCCTGCCTGCCAAAATGCTTAACATCAATGGAGTGGCCGACTTGTGATGATAGCAGAGGCGAGTCAGAAGGGAGGGGCTGATCAAGTGGCGCGTGCTGTTCGCATTGAAGAATAGCCACCAACGCGGCTCCTTCGTTGTGAAACTAAGCTGCTGGTTGACATCCGCTCTTGCCTCAATCAAGTATGAGATCACCTTGTCATCCGGCCACCCAGTTCTCAGCGCAAAGGACAGACAGAATTTCAAACTCCAAACGTTGCGGCTGCAGGTCAGATCCAGCCTTTCATGGGCCTGAACTTCCCGCATGAATGCCAGAGAGTTGAATCCCGCTGCCGTTGCAAATGGATGTATGTTTGGCGGTGGCATGATATTTTGGTCTATTTTGGCCTCAAGGAGGAGGCGGGCACCAGATGCGTTGTCAGAGAGAGCAGCCTCGCTTAGAGCACAAGCACCAAAGCCGTCGCGGGCATTGATGTTTGCGCGGCATGACAAGAGCAGCTTGATGACGTCGTTGCTGTGGTATGAGGCAGCCAGAGACAACACTGGAACCTTCGGGGCAATGAAAATGTCCCCAGATGCTTTTTTCACCATGTCTTGGCAGCAAGCCCTGATGTTCAGAAGTGCCTGCACTACTTCAACATCACCCCTGACTACGGCATAACACAATGGTGACCACCCTGCCGCATCGATTTGAGACACATTCGTGAAGGCAGTCTCGTGCAAGAACTTGGTAGCGGTAAACCCAACAGGATCAGTGAGAGGATCGATCTTGGCCGGAATTTCAGGAAGCAACCCCTCGATACGCTGCAGGTTGAGACCAGCAAGGTAGTGATGCTGAATGCTCAGAAGGAATCTGTAGTTGTGAAGGTCATTACACTTCAGGAAATACCTCAGTTTTTCTCGTATCATTCGAACCAGCACCATGGCGATCCACTCCTTGTCTTCTGCTACAGCAAAGACTCCTCTGCCAGGAGCCTTGTGCAGGGCTAGCGGGACCGTTCCCACCTGCTTCGGGGTTGTAGAATCTTCTACACAAACGATGAAGCCATCATGGCGTCCCAGAGCCCGCGCCATTCTTTCCAAACCTGGACCATGAGTCAGACCCCTCTGCATTCGGGTGAGGTTTTACAAATAAAGTTTTTCTGCAGGATATTATCTGACTGTATTTTGGCGACACTTAGTCCCCATTCAAGACCGGCCGGATTAGTATCGGCTTCTAGTAGCAGTTGCACCAGGAAACGGTAGACAGTCACTAAGACTAGGACCAAGGAACGGCACCAGCCACGATGGCTCCACGTCTGGCTGGTCAGGAGAATATCTTCTTCCGCATGCGGCACCGGAGGGCACAAAATGAAGAAGAAAAAGGATCCCGCGACATATGTATGGATGCTGCGAATGGCATCATGCCTCTTTGCCACAGATTCTGAATCTCTGCCCTGTGGAACACTCATATAATCATACCAAATATAGAGCGGCTGGCTTCTGAAGGAAGCCACTGTTGGTACCTTCATGCGTCCCCAATATATTTCATTAGGTACAGGGGGGACCACCCTGCAGGCTCCCGAGAGGAGGCGTTGGAGCATCATTTGAAGAATTTTGAACTGCTGAGAATGCGGGTCAGGATGATGGTAGCTCACCCACTGGTGAGATACAAACACAGCGCGACCCATCTGTTCATGAAAATCACAGAGAAGTCCTGCATCCAAAAGCTCCTCATGACTTGGGAGCGTCGTGATTTTGAGAATTGTCTCCAGAGTCACGGTGTACATGGGAAAAGTTCTCTCTGAAGGCACGCGGAAAACCTCGTCAGGGGCTGGCGTTGAGAGATGCTGACACAACCCAAACGGAGCCTAGCATGTGAATTCAAACTCATGCCGTTGATTCAGCTAGCCTGCAAGCCCCAGATACATTACTCCATAATAGGATTCGAGGGGTATAGGGTTTCGGGCTTAATAAAGTATAGAATATAATCCTTCTATATTCCTTATATAATCAAGTCCCACGTTGCTGCACTTAGTTGTATGCAGGGCTATTGTATCCTCAGGCCTAAAGCTCCAAGTACATAAGCATCATATGTCTCCCCAAGAAGTGTACTGCAACTCCGCATAGCAAAGCCAAGGACCCTTACAGTCAATCGAAAAGTCTCGCATGACCTAGGTATACCAAACTACCACAATTCAGAGGGTATAAGGTACTCACGCAGGAAATTCAGAATCATCACCCTCAACCCTACATCCTACCATAGTTCCCATTAGGATGTTTAGGGTTTACCTAAACCCCAAAAGTATGTAAAATAATAGCCCTAAACCCTTAATAGTAGCCATAAAGGCCATTATTTCACATACTTTTGGGGTTCAGGTAGGGTTTACGGGTTTAGGGCTTTAGGGGTAACTGTAGGTCGGAGCATCTCTGCCTCATCTGTTGCAGAGCTCATGGCTACAAGTCGGCAGGTTGACGACCGACAGGACACAGAGGCACAGAGGAACCCTAAGGCTCCATGTAGGTACTATTTATAGGGTTTAGCGCCCAATGTAGGTATTATTTATAGGGTTTAGGGCCCAATGTAGGTACTATTTATAGGGTTTAGGGCCCAATGTAGGTATCATTTATGGACTTAGCGCGCAGGGGAAGCAAGCATGCGAAGGTTCGCGAAAAGGGTTGCCCCTTTAGGGCCCCTGGGATACACAGAGGTGATAATGAGGAAAGATTGCCTTTTCAGTCTACATTGTGCGTGTTGGAAGCCTTGCGAAGGAAGACAATCTGTATGCTGAAGCTGTGGCTCTGCAGATTCATTAAAAAAATGTGAGCTGTAGTCTAAACTTCTTAAATGGGGTCTATAGGGGATGATATAGATGAGTATTATGGGGGCTATTAAGTGGGATACCAGGAGTTTAGACTATGGCTCATATCAGGAAAACCGCTTTGGGCTCTAGGGTCCTTGGATAGTGCCCATTGCGTGCTACTTGAAGCCCTATCATTGGGGAACTGGGAACCATAGCAAAAATTAGAGCTTTTGCTGTTCCTTACGATTACAATAAGCAAAAAGTACAATTATTTCCAAGTACCCCTAAGCTATGTGTTGCAAATCCAACGCAGGCTTGCTTGAGAGCCACCGTGATCCACTCACGCAGCATCCTCAGCCCCGTTAGCACAGTGAAACATCGGTTAGGGTTTAGGGTTTAGGGTTTAGGGTTTGGGCCCAATGTAGGCATTATTTGTGTACTTGGATCCCTAGGGAAATTTGGAGTTTCCAGGAGTCGGGGTCGCCCTCATGTACCCTAGCCCGCTAAATTCAGGATTCCATATTTCCCGGAGGTAGGTTGAAAGAAACCCCTCACCTCCAAGTTCAGTAAAGCCTACCCGCACCGATGAAGGGATTTGCCGCGACCCTTTTTCTGAGGACTGAAGATGCCCATGCGACTGGAGACAATTTGCCTCTGGGAAGGGAAGGAACGGAAAATGGAAACTGTTCTATGACTGGGGATAATATAGGGAGTACAACAAGGATCCATTCCGTCATTCCTTGCTAAGCAGAAGCAAGATCAGACAACATAAATGAAACGTGTGGAAACGGTGACCGGTCCAGTCCAAGCCAAGCAAGAATGGCACGGAAGGCCAATGCAAGAAAGCATGATCCTACTCCACGGTTAATTATCATGCTCATGAGGTATCCAAAACCTATATCTCTACACATATCTACCTATCTCTCTCTCTCTATATATATATATATAGTATATGTAGCCCTCTATAGACATCCCTATATACCCCTATACCCCAACTTAAGGGGCCCCGGCCTGCTGCGATGGAGCTGGAGGAGCGCTCCAAGGCTTTCTGCCCGCACGGGCGACGTGCGGCACTGGGCCATGTCAAGGGAAGCCTGGGTTGCTGTTAAGGAACTTAAGTTAAGTTACTATATTGGGGAAACCCTATAGGGTTTAGGGTTTAGGGTTACTATATTGGGGAAACCCTATTATTTACTATATATATCCATTATGGTAACTTAATTTAGGTTCCTTAACAGCAACCCAGAAGCACGAAGCTTGTGTCGCCACCTCGGCAGTTTCGGGGTTCTTTGGGAAAGAAAATGGAAACTACCATATTATAATATGGTATATACTTGGGGCTATATTGGGATAATGGAAAAGAAAATTGAAACTACTATAGGGTTTAGGGTTTGGATTTGGGCTTAGGGTTTAGCAGCTTGGGGTTTAAGGGTTTAGGGCTTAGGGTCTAGAGCCTAGTCCATAAGCCATACTTACTTTGGGGCCGAAAGTCCATGAATAGTACCTGCTTTGAGCCCCAAAATAGGGTACTGTTCATAGACTTCTTTGGTCCATTTGGATCCCTAAAGCGGGGCCAGGGTGAGGCCACATATGGGGTTGTATAGAACCCCGTCATCATTTGCTCTTCTTGAACCAACGTGTTAACTCTTATTGTTTCTGAAGGTTTTTGACATTCTCGTTTTATTTCACTCCTATTGGCTTTCCAGGCCAAATGCTTGCCCTGCAGTGCGGCACATGTCAATGGTAAGTAGTATGCGCCGTGGTCATTATACAACCCCATATGAGCTATAGTCTAAACTCCTAGTATCCCCCGTAATAACCCATATAGTAGTCCCCTATCCCCTATATAACCCCCTTTAAGGAGTTCAGACTATAGCTCATATGGAATTCAGATTCTGAATTCTTGGCACTTCTCAGCATGCCTTTTCCTGTGCAGGAGTGCCAAAGGCATGCGGGCTTGGTGTTCAGAGCTCATAGTCGGCAAGGGCGAACCCCAGTAGCTTACGGGAGGTAATGTAGGGACTATCTGGTTACATAGGGGGTATATAAGCACTATATCAAGGTTATATGAGGTATTTTCCCTACTCAGAGCCCTGGAGAATACAGATTCGGAGAAGGGACTGCTGTGAAAAAGAATCTACTCGATTGATACTAAAAGCTCTCCTCCTCTGCAATTCCAGGTGTTATTTGTCTAGCACAGTAGGAATATTCTTCATGATGGCGCTTCTGTTTAAGGGAAAGAAGGTTTACTTTAGCTACAACGTATATACTGGTTGCAAAACCCTGCTAGGCCCGCACCGATCTCGCTTGATGAGCCTGGGCAGGCACCTGTGATGGCCAACTAATAGGTGTTTGTGCAGGAATGCCGATTCCTTGCTAAGCAGTTGTTGGGACGACAGGCTCTATATTGTAGGCGCCTTAATGATGACCAACATCGTTCTGAGGTGTATCTGACATACCCTACGCCGAACTTTTGCTAGGAATCTAGGACCACCCTATCGCCAAATGAGCAATAATCTAAACTCCTAGTATCCCCCGTAATACCCCTACAGTAGTTCCCTGTATAATCCCCTATATAACCCCCCCTTTAAGGAGTTTAGACTATAGCTCAAATGTTTGGGCCCCTACATCCCGCATCCTAAGGGTCCAGCACAAAGGCTTTAGAACTGCTGGCGGCAGAGCAGAAAGGAAGTAAGAAGGTGGTCTATATCTGGCTTGCTGATGAGGAACCTAATTTAAGCTACCAGACTATGGGTATACAGTTTCCTGATGATAGAGACTTAGTTTAAGTTCCTTAACAGCGAGCCAGAAACAAGTAGAATAAGGTCTCGTGGAAGTTCATCTGCTGATACTGAGACAAGAATCATACAGAAATGGGAGTTTCCCAATCCCTCTCACATTTCCCCCAATCCTTGGAATACATCCGCAAGACTTTCTCGCCCTTACGTAAGGGCCTGAAAGAAAACGGTCCTGTGCTACTCAGAAATCCCCAAATGATCTTGACAACTGTTCATGCCTCTATGTTAGGAGGACCCCCCACCCTGTAATAGTGGTATACTAGGAATATAAGAGGACCCTAATATAATCACCAGTATCCCTTATAGTGACTATTACTGGGTGGGGGGGTCCACCTAACCTATATGAAGCATCAAAGCGTGGCCTGGAAACGATGCATTGCAGCCTTCCACCATGGCTAAAGCCCTACAGCCTCCTGCTGGGTGGTTATCAAAATTATGGTCCCTTTTTGGGTACCCTAAATGTTAGGTGCCGTATTATAATAGGGATCCAAAAAGGGACCATAAATTTGACAACCACCCTACTAGAAATGCTGATAATGAGGAGTCATGCTTGCACTATGTTCACTCTGGCCACCTGCACAGATAATGTTTCTACAGTTTGGTGCATGTACTTCTCAAGTCAGCTGCTCAAACCTGTTGATCTCGCATCGACATTTGGGCGTTTTCAAGATTCAGGGGTACCTTTTTGGGAGTCCCCATAGAGAGAATTAAAATATCATGGGGTGTATATTGGGGTCCCTATTTTTTGGAAACTAGCATTTGGCTATGGTATGTGGTTAGAATCCATGTCGCCTGCTGCTTGATGCAATCGTATATGTTTCAACAACTTCTTGGGCCAGTCGTGGCAGAATTAGAGATGCGGAGTATTACCCCCATATACCCAGTATATACCCCTAAATAAAAGCCCTAAACCCTAAATACACTAAACCCTATACCCCCCAAATAGCCTAAACCCTATTCAACTTGTCCGTTCGCGGTATTGGGACTGTTCAGCAGAGATTTGTGATCGTCTATGCATTTCGACACAAGTTGAATTTGCGGGTCGCAAGTCACAAGGACATAGCAAGTATACTTACCACCCCAATAACTGTACACTTATAGCTTCATTATTCCCATGTTTGACCTCTTTACTGAGCCCCTTGACCACCCCTCCGAGCAGAGGATCGAAGCATGAGGCTGTGGCCACTG